GCAATTGACTTGTAAAGGCAATAGAAATCACAATAGGTGGATACCTGCCTGGAAAAAGCGCTGCATTGGAATAGGCACCGGGACAATACCTGCCTGGAAGGAGAGCTGCAGCCTGGTAGGGTGGAAAAGCTCCAGAAGGACCCCAATCAAGCCGTGGGGACTGGGGCAGAAGAGCGGCAGTTTTCTCCAGTTCCAGTGATCCTGGACGGAGGTACCCAGCCGGGAGCAGGTCAGGTTCCACACCTTACTTATCAAACCTCCCTCACAGTGAATTGATTTCTACCAATCAGCAATCACTCTGAGCCTTCTCAGTACCCAGATTGCCACAAACATACATCTATTATTAATTACCTGCCATGCCGCATGTACCACCACAAAATAGTAGCAAGATGGCTGTCAGCAAGACAATAGCAGGTTACACGTGTTATCAAACCTAATGTGACTATTATAATCCAGCTTGATCCAATATATTTCTACATCTCATATGTTTCTGCACTGATTTTACTCTGATGTTTTGTGCACACAGTACATTACCTGTAATGCTTATTTTTGATAATGAACCTTCTTCTGTATGCCTTTTTTTTTTTAAAAAATATAAAATGTGATACACATAAAAATAAATGGAAACTACTGTCAGAAATGATCCTCTAGATTTTAATGCATTACACAGATGCATTATACAGTTAATTAAATATATATATATATTATAAACAAAAATATATTAATTTTCAAACGTTTGTAGCGGTATACCTGACAGAGGCTATCTTTAGCTACAGACAGCTTCCTCCCTCACCAGGTAGAGCATACACCAAGAGTAGGCAACCTTTAACACTCCATATGTTGTGAAGTCGCTGTAGGAGCTATGTGAGATGTAGTACGGAATATTATAACTGCTCTATAAAGTAATATCTGCCTTGCAATACACTTTGCCAGAAATGAATCTTGTTCTGATAATTCCTAACGAGGATGAAACACTCAACACATAAATCTATTTTTCACTACTGCACCTTCACACCAAGAAATGTTTTTAAAAATACACAAATGCTGAAAGGGGAATGTATATGTGGATTCCGAAGCTAAAGGTAACAATTGAGAGACTTGTTTGGAAATCCCTAGAGAGAATCCTTAGCACCAGTGTAGTCCGAAGTCTGCTGGCTTGCCTGGGATGTGAGGCTGTACTCAAACAACGCTCTATTGGCTTATTTATAACCGTGCACTAAGTAACAAGCTGTACATGCCAAAACTGTAGAGAGCATATGATCTGACAGTAAGTAACAGCCAAAGTTTGTGTTGCATTAATTAACTTACTGGTAATATAAATATGAAAGCCCTAAATCCATTCATTTATATAGACGTCGGAATTTACTATGTCATGGTAAGATTAACAGCATGAGCTGTTGTTTAAAACTAACAATGCAATTAGTTGTGTAGGCGCTTCACAAATGATATGTTAAAAGTATATTGGATAGTGAGTGTGAAGAAATAGGTGTAATCCCTTATCACCTTAAATCGAGTAATAAAATCAAAAGTAAATCACACACACATTGTATTTAATATATCTATATACCACCTACTGAAGTACATAACACATCTGGAAAATGAATAAAACATACATAGTGCTCTCCATAAAATTTAAAATCCAAGAAATAAAATATGTGTGTGTGTGACTTACTTTTGATTTTTATTACTTGTTTAAAACTAGCTAGGGGTAATGAATTGAAGGAACACCCGATTGCGTGCCATAAATAAAATGATAAAACACAGGAGTTTTAACAAGTTCATTTATATTCATCCCCCCTCCCCCTCATTCATAGTGCCCTGGAAAAATAAATGCTATTTATCTCTAATCCAATGATTAGTCAGTCTCCTCTCCCCAGCTCAGCCAATCTACTAGAGAAGCATGTGGGTGCCATGGTACGTGCATCGCAATTATTGCAGCTGCGCTATGCCACTAAAATGCTCCTCGTCATACTCAGTACTTCTCTGTGAGAGACCCTCACATCCGCTTTGAACAAGCGCTTAAACTGAGTAAGAAAGAGCACCAAAGCTTGGAGGGCGCAAACTCAAAGCTTTTATAAGAGTACTGATTTCTTTTCAGATCTGTTTTTTTTTATTTTTTATAAAATAACAAAGGGGAGACCTTTAGTTAACCCCCAAATCCAGAGGTCCGGAGTGATCCTTTAATAATCTGAATTTCACATAAATAAAATATGAACTACAGAGCACCGCAATTATGAAATAACCTCAGGGACACAGTCAAATCTTCGTTCAATCTAAAATCTTTTAAGAGATCTATGGCAATATACAGAACATTTGGGAGAACTTTTACTTGATTATGGGGTGTATATAAGGGGAGGGGAGTATCTGTAATTTTTATTCATTTAATTTTTATTCATTTGTTTTTATTGTTAAACTTGCTAACATCACTGTAAAGTCCCTGAGGAAGTCCCAGTAGTGGGAAGAAACGCGTTGGACAGAGAGTTTATGATATTTTATGCTGATCGATTGTAACTTATGTGTAAGTAATAAATACATTTTTTACTTTGTACACATTTCTCCATTTTTTCATTTTGGATGTATTTCTATCTTTTTGTATCATTGAGACCTGGAAGTCCATACATTGAAGTAAGAACATTGCCTAAGAGCTACATGGATTTTGATACGCCTTATCTATTCAGTCAAAGTGTGAGTGATGCATTTGGCAAATATACTGTAGAAGCTGCATACGGAGTTGCACTATGTTATTTTTTGTTTCCCTATAGTTGGATTGACCCCAATTTGTGTATTTAAATATACAGAACGCACCTGTCATGGTTGAATATATTTATCACCTGTTATGTATTACATTTATATATGTGTGCATGTATATAGTTAGTATATTGTATTTTTGTAATATTGTATCCTGTCGTAACAATAATGTGGACCCAGGGCATACTTGAAAACCAGAAAAATCTCATCTTGGTAAAATATTTTATAACTAAATAAAACATGAAGTCAGTACAGTTTTTTCCCAAAAATAAGGCTGAGTCTTATATGAAGTTTTGACCCGAAAAATGCACTACTGCTTATTTTCAGGGGGGTGGCTTATTTTTTGAGGTTAAATAAGGATTTACCGGTCTCAATTGGAAAATAAAAGAATTCAAATATTTTCTCTATTTCGTCTACTTTGCCCTAAGATTAAAAATTCCCTTTAAATTCTCACTTTTGTGAATAACCCTGTATGGATGCCTTTAATGCAGCCTCCTCAAGATTAGACGACTCTACCCCACCCCTGAGGGGGATATATAGGAGCTCATAAAGGAAGGTTCATACAAGCAGATCAAATTTTATTCTACTCATTAACAGGACTGGATAAAGTTCAAACAGCCATCCATTGAGATTAAAAAGAAGAAATAGACCTTATCTGTAAGAATGAAACCAATATGGAATTTACAGCCTAAAGAGGTTGTTTTATCAAATTGAATTTATGCTTTAAAAATGGTCCGGGTGCTTTTTCAGATTGGCACTACACACAAAGCTTCAGTAGTAAATATGGACATAATTCATAATAGCTAATTATTCATTTTTGGGGGCACAAGTGGAAATCTCTTTTACTTATATATTCTGCAGGGCTCAAAATTTCTACTTGTCACTAGCCATCAGTGAGTGAAAATTTAGCCGTAGTGAGCATAAATTTGCTCCTGACGGTTTGCTTTTGGAAGTGACTTTCAAGGCCTGGCTAGCAGTACAAGATGTTTAAAAGAATGCTGATTTTTACAATTTCCATGATTTATACAATATCAAGATTATTTACAAAATCATGCATTTTTGGCGATTAAAATAATTCAAAGATAATTTAAAATTTTAGATCAAAATAGTCAGACTATAAAAATTCTCTAAGTGACCTATTAATGTATTTACTTACAGATTTTATATGGCATGCCTTTCCAGAGAAGACTTGTACACACATCCCCATTTAGCAGAATTGAACAAATTTAATGCCTGTTTATATATGGGTGGACAAATCGATTTGTTAGACAAATCCCAAACTATTTTTGTTTGTCCATAGATTAACGGGTATCTGAGATTTGAGAAGAAGCCTAACACAGAGTGCTTTACAAATTAAGAAAACAGATGGGTTTTGGTTGGCTATTTTGAAGTAAGATTTGAAATGCGCTATGAATTCCAAAAACCTCATCCATTAGTAAATAACCGTACACATCTAACAATGTATGTTTAGGCATAACTTCTAACAATTTGTGCTGTCATTATGCATTCTGCCCGGCCATCTGATCTCACTCAGTGTATGCAGCCACCAATTTTTATAATTAGTGTAAAAATTTAAGAAAAGGACATGGGATAATGAATAAACTGTAAATATTAACTTAACAACTGATATTTTCATCTACACTGTGATGGATTTATAGTGCCTTTATTACAGTTCAAACGTTGGTTATATTACCAGATTTTGTTCCCAAACTACTGGCATTTTCCATTTCTATACTATTTAAACATTCACTAATGTCCTTTAAAGTGGATGTGAGATACATTAATTAACAAATTGCGAATCAGCGGAGGCCGAAGCAGGTGGCGTGTGCGCACTGAATAATCATCTCAGAATGTTAGCAACATGCGTGCGTATTGGTTTTTAGTAGTATTCGGTGTGTTTATCCTCTACTATTCTGTTTATGAACAAGTGCTCAAACAAACTGAGCACTGAGAAGAGTTATATGGAGTTTTCCCACATTGAAATGGCAGACTTCTGTTATTAGCAATAGCTATAACAGTTTGGGGTTCATTCACTAAACACCAAATTATACTGAATTGAGAATTCAATATTGGCTATAGAAGAATCCCAAGTGTTATTAAATATTTTTGATTTTATAATTGGAAATTAAATTAAAAGCTCTTATTAAGGACCTGAAACATAAAATAAGGACAATTAATAATAATTTGTAAGGGCTTAAATTTGTTTCTAATTAACCACATTTCTCTGTATAAGAGTTCTCCAAACTCCGGCCCTCCAGATGTTGCTGAACTACAATTCCCATGATTCTTCGAATGAAATAGATAGCCAGAGTGAAATGGGAGTTGTAGTTCAGCAACATCTGGAGGGGCAGGGTTTGGAGAACCTTGGTCAATGTAAAAGTCTTCATCGAATTCTTCGTTTCAACTGGTGCAAACAAATCAAATTGCTTTTAATCCACACCTGAATGAACCGATCTGTCTGACTTTACAGGTAAATCCTGGATGCATCGATTTATTGTGGCATAGGTTAAAAAGAATCTGATTTGTCTGAACCAGCTGAAACGCATTTGTGCGCCAATCTATTCTTTAGCTCATACTGCATTGACCTAGCTCCACATTGACAGCTGTCTTATTATTTCTGGATCCTGGGGTCTTCTGAACACTTCTTTATTATAAAATAATTCAACTAAAAATCTACCAAAATATAGCATCCACAGACCTAGGAAGTAAGAGGATTGCAAACGCACCAAAACCAATTTAGTTTAATTAAGCGGTTTTGGTGTATAGATCATGCCCCTGCAGTCTCACTGCTCAATTCTCTTCCATTTAGGAGTTAAATCACTTTGTTTATGCAGCCCTAGTCACACCTCCTCTGGTTGAAGCTCACACAACCACCATGAAAAAAATGTTTAATTTTTACAGAACCGTATGTTTGTGTTTTTATATCGTGTTTTATTAACTAAACTTTAATCACACACAGGAGGCTGTTGCAGGCTCTAGCATGCAATTAACAGTACAGTCAATGATAAATCTTAAAGGAAATAAACTGTGCAATAATTGACTCTTTTTCAGGAAGTGTGTAGGTAGACGATGTGAGTCTCAGCCAGGGGAGGTGTGGCAATGGCTGCATTAACAAAGTTATTTAACTCCTAAATATTTGAGAACTTTGTAGTGATACTGCAGAGGCATAATCTATACACCAAATCAACTAAAGTTGTTTTGATGGTTAGAGTGTCCCTTTAAGAGTCATGTAACGTGACTGGTGTTTGTATTGGGATATTTAACACATTGAGGTATGTTTGTATGTGCATACATATAAAATAGATTGTTTAAAAAATATTTTTAACAACATTCTGTATTCAAGGTAAATATGAAAACAATACGTTTGTGATTATATGAATTTGGACAGCAACATGGAGCGAAGCCAAGATCAGACCTGCGTTATGGGACTGACATAGTCCATATGTAGACTCTTCAAGCAAAGTTGGCTGGTGTTCAGTCAATAAATAACAATACACAGCGCAATCTGCTGTTAATAAAGGGAACAGTGAGTCAGCTGGCTCTTCAAGGTCACATCCAGGGAATAAATATTAACTTTAAGTTTAAAGTCTAAATTAGGTCAGTTATTAGCGAGAGCCAAATGTACGAATGGATGACACATTCATATCATAATGCTGTGTGTGAGTGCAGGCAGAGTGGAAGAACCAGACCACATTCCGGTGGCCCGTTCGTAGTGTCCATTCATCTTCATGTCAAGGATCACAAAATGTTTTATTATTAGTGTCCAACCACAAGGCTTAGGGAAGGGCAGCCACCATGCTATCCCTGTGTCTGTGCCCACAAGCTACACACTCCGGTAGCCGTCAGGAAGCTGGAATTCAGAACTGGAACAAAAGATGGAGATACACAAATAAGCGCACTCACTCCAAGGATGTGAAAGGGTAGAATTCTAAATGTTATAATCATCAAAGCTTTAATTCTAAAAATATTAGTGCAGGGATATAGATGATAACCATAATATGTACACAGGACGTAGGATGGTTATAAAACCTTTGAGTCGTGGTTCATTTTTTAAAATTATAATTATAATTTCTCACCATCTTCATTAATCAACCTAATCAATTCAAATTTAATGTTCCGGTAGTTTTTATGTGTTTGGGGGGCATTTATGTACTTAAGATATTTTGGGTGGTTCGTCTTGGTCTCATTGGCCAATAATAATATTTTTTCTAATTTTGGCAATGTCTTTGCCATTTTTCAATTTTATTTTTTTTTTGTTTTTTTTTCTAGGTGTCGCTAGCTCATTTTCTTATTTAATTCATGATTGCCCTTTTTGTTTGCCATATCGTCAGATATTTGTTAAAACACCATCATGTTATAATGAAGGTTCAATAAAGGCAATGCATTGTGTTTATTATTTTTGCATTTCCCGCTGATGTCTCTTGCGTCATGTTTATCCTTATATCCTTTAATACTAATCCGTATTTTATTATATAATTAACACTAGTATTTAGATGACAGCACCACGGCTTATATAAATCTTAGTGAGCTTCCGCTGAGTTCTCTCAACTGAAATAAGTGTCATGCAAGCAGCTCGAGTTTTGCAAATGCAAGATCTTTATTACCTAAAAGCCTTTCTCTCAAAATTAAACTTTATTTTAAATAATTAACTCTCCATTTTACACATTTTCTGAAATGTAACACTTGTTTGAGAGCTTTCTTTACTGGTTGACCTGAAATTGTTCACAATTATAACTCTTAAAGGGTCCCTGTCATCCTCCGTATGATTTGCATTCTTTTTAAAGAGCATAATATTCCATAAATATTCAGTGCTATCACATTTGCCAGCAAATGTATAGATAGGGACTAAAAACAATTTAAAGAGAGGTTTTTCTCCCAACTGTCAGTCAATTCTTTGGCATAGAATCTATTCCAAAGAATTGACTGACATGGAGAGCAGAGACCTCCCACAGGCTGTCATTCTGCTCTCCACATATCGAAACCATAGACTATGCGCTGCCTTTGCTATGGTGACTCCTCAGCCAACGCTGCTAACACTTACTAGAGAGTATAGGAAAGGAGTGACTGACATCACTCTATTCAAATGCCAGCATGCTGACAATGAAGTCAGCGTGATAGCTTTTCTGAGGAGGTCTTGGAAAATTCCCCAATTAGGGTGAAAGAAAGAAGATAGCAAGAGGAGCAAAGGGTGGATTGGAGGAGGGGGTTATACAAGGAGTAATGCCCACAGAGCTGGAACATAGCTAAGGTGAGTACAGAGCCAGCGCTACCATAAGGCAGTATAGATGGCCACCTTAAGGTGCACCGGCTCGGGGGAACTAAAGTCCAGGCAATTTGTATCAGGAGAGAGTACAGCACTCCCATTCTGCTGGTCACTTTATGTAGCGTGGCTAAGCTCCAGCACCTGTCTTGCCCACTGGCCCTGGTGCATGCTGCAGGCTGAGTGGATGGGACAGAGATATGGATCATGTTATATCCCCGCTCCCTGTGTAACACACATAGTGGCACTTAGTGATGACCCTGGTCTGCTGGGAAGTCAACAGAGCCGGACAGCATGCTCCCTTTGGACCTGATTGCACAGAGATGTAAGTATGTAATTGTGACTTTATGTATGATTATATGCCTGTGTCTGAATGTCAGTGTATGCCTGTGTCTGTATGTCTCTGTATGCCTTTGTCTGTATGTCTCTGTGTGTGTGTGTATGTCCCTGTATGCAGTGGTGTATCCTGGTTTTGTGCTGCCCTAGGCATGACAAAACTCAGGCACTCCCCCCCCGCAAGTGCCACCCCACCCTTCACCCCTGCCCTGCCTTCTAAATACACACACATTCACTGACGTGTGATGTGACACTAGCTAACAAACATACACAATCACTAACAGACACATACATTCACTAACAGACACGCATACACTCTCACTAACAGACACACACATAGTAACACACTCCGTAACAGAAACACACTCACTAACAGACACACACTCACACACACACTAACAGACACACACACACCCACACACACAAACAGACACACACACTAACAGACACACACGAACAGACACACTAACAGACAAACACACACACACACAGACACACACACACACACTCACAGACTAACACATACTAACACACACACTAACATTAACACACTCACTT